GGCACCAAGTGACCGAACGGCAACCATGCTCAGTATGGAGCGAAGTACGTACTTTGATTAGCTAGGGCTATTTTTTAGGAGAGCCCGATAAACCACTAGGTGGTTCTGGTAGCACCTAAGCAGTGCAAAAAATGAATTTAGGCCAACGATTATTAGACCACTTCAGCCGATAGTCATAAATATTATGCATGTGTGTGTATACTTGTATATGTTGTTCGGCCGTGCGGCCGTATTACTTTGCTTATTGTGCAGTGGAATTCGTTCGACATGCTCGAACTGGGAGATCCATGATGTTTGGCATGAAGCGCGGAGACGTTCATGACCGATGAAGAAAAGATGAAATCACAAACAGGCAAAGCCGTTTGGTCAGCTCGAACGGGGAGATCACGAAGCGTAGAGACGTTCGTGACTAGCAACGTAAATAGATTCAGGGAAAGCTGTTCGGTCAGCTCGAACGGGGAAATCACAAAGCGCGAAGACGTTCGTGACTGGCAACGTAAAGAGATTCAGGGAAAGTCGTTCGGTCAGCTCGAACGGGGAAATCACGAAGCGCAAAGACGTTCGTGACTAGCAACGTAAATAGATTCAGGGAAAGCCGTTCGGTCAGCTCGAACGGGGAAATCACGAAGCGCGAAGACGTTCGTGACTGGCAACGTAAAGAGATTCAGGGAAAGTCGTTCGGTCAGCTCGAATGGGGAAATCACGAAGCGCGAAGACGTTCGTGACTGGCAACGTAAAGAGATTCAGGCAAAGTCGTTCGGTCAGCTCGAACAGGGAGATCACGAAGCGCAGAGACGTTCAAGACCGACAACATAAAGAGATTCAGGCAAAGTCGTTCGGTCAGCTCGAACGGGGAGATCACGAAGCACAGAGACGTTCATGATTAAAAAAAGATACCAGGAAAGAAATCCTACGAGATACCGTCCGAAGCCGTTCATGATTCAGAAAAGGAGAGAGAATTCAGAAAAGAAGATAGAGAATTTAGAAAAGGGGATAGAGAATTCAGAACAGAAGATAGAGAATTAAGAAAAGAAGATAGAGAATTCAGAAAAGGGGAAAGAGAATTCAGAAAAGGGGATAGAGAATTCAGAAAAGGGAATAGAGAATTCAGAAAAGGAGATAAAGAGTCCAGAGAACTCCATGACTAGCAATCCGGCCCCACCATTCGGCATCTAGAGCAAGCTTCACAGGCAGAGGGGCCTGCAAGACCCTCAGACATTCTTGATTACGATCGGTCACCCCAGCATGACGTGATCATCATTGAGAGTCTCAGCGGTTAACAACTTCATACTCCACAGAGGGAGACTTATTGTTCGGGTCATCATTGATTACTTCTATACCTTCACAATCGGCCACCCCGGCACGATGTGATCATCATTGAGAGTCTTTATAAAAAAACAATAAAAAACAAAGAGAGACAAGGAATTCAGGGCTCCTCGAATATCACTTTGACCGCTGGTATAGAAGAACCGAACGTTAACATTGAGAGTCTCACCTCAACTTTTAACATGTAGAGTCATTCCGGATGACCGAAATACGAACGTGTTAACATTTTGGAGGGAGCCATCATCTCAGCTAACAGAATTTGACCTTGGGCTTACGAACGGATAAAGGGATCAAAACGGCTTGGAGATGATGTCTAAACTATAAGTATGGACGAGCCGAGCGACGTTCGGTAACATGGATTGTCGTCCGGGGAGACATACCTTCCAGAGAGTCTCACCTCAGCTTTTAACATGTAGAGTCATTCCGGATGACCGAATGACGAACGTGTTAACAGTTTGGATGGAGCCATCATCTCAACTAACAGAATTTGACCCTGGGCTTACGAACGGATAAAGGGATCAAAACGACTTGGAGATGATGTCTAAACTATAAGTAAGGATGAGCCGAGTGACGTTCGGTAACATGGATTGTCGTCCGGGGAGACATACCTTCCAGAGAGTCTCACCTCAGCTTTTAACATGTAGAGTCATTCCGGATGACCGAATGATGAACGTGTTAACAATTTGGAGGGAGCCATCATTTCAGCTAACAGAATTTGACCCTGTCATTATGAACGGGTAAAGGGATCAAAATGTCTTGGAGATGATGTCAAAACTGTGGAAGTCTCGCCTCAGCTTTTAACACGTAAAATCATTCCGGAAGACCGAATGACGAACGGGTCAACAGTTTGGAGGGAGCCATCATCTCAGATAACAGAATTTGACCCTGTCATTATGAACGGGTAAAGGGATCAAAACGGCTTGGAGATGATGTCAAAACTGTGGAAGTCTCGCCTCAGCTTTTAACACGTAAAATCATTCCGGATGACCGAATGACGAATGAGTTAACAGCTTGGAGGGAGCCATCATCTCAGCTAACAGAATTTGACCATGTCATTTTGAACGGGTAAAGGGATCAAAATGGCTTGGAGATGATGTCAAAACTATAAGTATGGACGAAACGAGCGACGTTCGGTAATACGGATTGTTCGAACGGGGGGATCAAAACTATGTGTTTGTAGAGTCGAGTCGAGTCGAGTCCATGTTTGTAGAGTCGAGTCCATGTTTATTCGAGTCAAGTCGAGTCCATGTTTGTAGAGTCGAGTCAAGTCAGGTCCATTCATGTGGGAAATGGCCATGTAAGGACCATGGCAATGACCATGGCATCGTAAATCCATATCACAGCAGGACCATCTTATGCAACACGATCGACCTCTCAACGCCATCGTGTCTAGTTCGTGTTCGACGATGGCCACGTAAGGACCATGGCAGTGTAAGTCCATATCACAGCAAGGTCACTTTTATGCAGCATGAACGGGCTCCACAGCACCGTCGTGCCTGACTCTAGGTGAGGCTCGTCCATCCTTGATATAGGATGACGACCACCGCTTTATGCAGCACAAACGGGCTCCACAGCACCGTCGTGCCTGACTCTCGGTCGGGCTCGTCCATCCTTGATCTAGGACGACGACCGTTGATTTATGCAGCACGAATGGGTTCCACAACACCGGTGTGCCTGACTCTCGGTCGGGTTCGTCCATCCTTGATCTAGGATGACGACCGCCGCTTTATGCAGCACGAACGGGCTACACAGCACCGTTGTGCCTGACTCTCGGTCAGGCTCGTCTATCCTTGATCTAGGATGACGACCACCGCTTTATGCAGCACGAACGGCTCGCTCATCAGCGCCGTCGTGCCTTCTTTTTTATCGGGCTCGTCGATCCTTAATCTATGATGACGACTGTCACTTTTATGCAGCATGAGCGGCTGACTCTACAGCGCCGTCGTGCCTAGTGCAGGATTGCACCTCACTTATGGATTATGCATGCCTTGCGCCCAAGATTATTCAAAGACTGATTCAAGGATGACACGAAAGAATGTGAGCAAGAGTATACTTTCTCGAGTAGATTTGCAAGCTCACTACTCAAGAAACTGGGGGACTTGTGTTGGGGAATATTATCCCGACCTACTACTGTTCAGAGGCCCAATACATCGCCCCCGTACGGGGCCCGGTCGACGAGACGCATTTAGGCCTACCCCGACCCATTTTAGGCCCATCGGCCCATATTTCGGCCCAACTGTCCATTTAGGCCCATTGGCCCATTAGAATCCCCTCCCTCTTTCTATAAATAGGAGGCCTTGCTTCCTGGGAAAGGGATCGGTTTTTTGGGCTCCCAGGAGCTTTCTCCTTCCCAGTACCATTTCTTCCCCTTTAGATTAGCTTATTTCATACTCCATTAATGGAGGTTCTACACTGGTACTATGTAAAATGGTGAGGAGAGCATATTAATGAGAAAGAGCGGGTTTGGACGTTAGCCTAAAAAGTCCCGTGCTTTTCTCCCTTTCCGGGTTTCCACGTAAAAATAGCTAGTTTATACACTTTTATATTTATTATTTACTTTTATACTGAATTGATCGTTCCTAATATCCAAAGTTTATGTTGGGCTTCCGGATCTACGGGACTAAAACTCAACAATACATCTTATTCCTCTTTCTCATATTTTCTCTCATTCCTCACTTTGTTTAGTGGTTTCTGATTTTTTTATACTTTGAGGTAAATTCCTGATTTTGTCCGCATATCACTTTCTCAGATTCCTCACTTTGTCCGCAGATCACTTTCTTTATACTTTGAGGTAAATTCCTGATTTTTTTATGTTAAATACTCTGTGATGTCAAAAAGAATGTTAAAAACTTATTCTTTTTAATATTGCAAACCTTATATAGTGCAGTGCTTTTTCTTTGAATATGACATTTGTATTCAATTTATCTTAATTTCGATATGATTTGTCATAGTAATAATTTTTTTTTTGTCTGGGGCCTCTGAAATTCTCAAACCGCCACTGACTTCAGTTGGGCACATGGGTTTAAAATCATCCAACCTTGTATATTAACTTTGTATTTAATATTTCTCAAAAAAGAATTGTATTTAATATTTTGTTGAATTCTTTGAATTTAATGTTGTATTTAATGTGAGGAATTGTTAATGTTTTACATAAAGTCAAATAGTTTTTGAAAAGTAATTAGTATTGTACTACTGTTCGGTGTATATATATATATATATATATATATATATATATATATATATATATATATATATATATATATATATGTGTGTGTGTGTGTGTGTGTGTGTGTGTGTGTGTGTGTGTGTGTGTGTGTGTGTGTGTATATGTAGACGTATAAATAAAAATAGTATCATATATAAGTACTTCACTTCAATTAATCATGAAGTTATAATTATGTATTATTTTACTCAATTATAGACAATGTCAAGGAGGACACCTTAGAATGACACCACCACAACTACATTTTTGAAGATTTGTGATGAAGAAAAAGCAAAAGGAAATACTAAATATGGTTGGAATAAAATTGTTAACAACCTTCATGTACAAACGGGTACTATTTTTTATTGTAAGAAAGCACGAAATCACTTTAGTGAGTTGAAAGATAAATACAAAGCATGGGTCGACCTTCAAAATTACACTGACATAAATTTTGATCCAGTTACGGGTGAAGTTCAAGTAGAAGAACGTTCATTAGATAGATGGAAAGCATATCAAGAGGTAAAAATGCACTTGCGTTTTTCTTTAATTTCAAATTCTATTCTCTAAATAAAAGTTATTTACTAATATTATTTAATTTTATTATTAAATATAAATATAAATATATCTTTTAGAAACATAAGCGACATGGAGCTACAATTGCTAAGAAGCAGATGCCATATCTTCAGTACCTAGAAGCTTTATTCCAAGGACAAACTGCACACGGTGTACGAGGTAGCTCACCTGCTAGCGCTAGGACAACACACATTCTCAATAGTAATGTCGCGGTCGAAAAGACTCAGAACATAAACACCGAAGAATCTTTTGATACCGGTAGTTCAGATGAAAATGAAAGTCATGATACAGTTTATGGTGAAAAAAGTGATTCACCTATTATGGTAGATCAATCATCCGCATCAACTAAGAAGCGAAAGGGGAAAAACAACGTCGGTGAAAGCTTAGCACGAAAGCGAGGGGAAATAGATAGATGTTTAGAAATTGTGAAGCTTGCTTCAGTAAAAGAGCAATCTGTGATCGAAAAGGTGGCTAAACTTCTTGGTGAGATGGATGTTGACAAGAAATACGGTGATCAATATTATGTGGATGCAATGACCTTCTTAGGTGAAGGTAATAATGGTGAGGTCTTTGTGACACTTCGATCTGAAAATCAGAGGTGGATGTTTCTACAGAAAGGAGTTCCTTATGGCAATCAAGATTGATATATGGCGTTTTGAACTTAAGATTATTTATTTTCAGCATGCTAAAGTTTTGTCTATTCGTTTAGAACTTTTTATATGTTTGTTTGAACTAAAATTATGTGGATTGTTATCTTTTACAAACATATCGTGTTATCGTTGTTATAACACGTGTTTACCATTTGTTTTAATGTGCATTGGAATTCATTATTTTATTTGTGTAGAATGAATGCTGAAGTTAGACGGTCATGTCTAATTATTGCATTAGAGGAGCTCAGATAATTACTATAAGATGATGAACAAAAGAAGACTAGGATACCAATGAGAGTAGGTGGAGAAACGGGAGGTGAATATATACATAGAATGTTGAATGGTCATCCTGGATTATGTAAAGAGCAATTAAGGTTGACGAGAGAAATGTTCATCCACCTTGTGAATATTATGGTTGAAATAAATTTATTGAAAGACAGCAGGTTCATTCATGTGGCAGAGCAAATTGGAATTGGTCTCTATATATTGGCCAATGGAGCTTCTTACACAGATGCAATTTATGTTTTTAAGCATTCTTTGAGAACCATATGCAAATATTTCAATCTAGTATTGCATGCCTTGGTTGAGTTATCTTTTGACATAATTTGACCACATCACAATTTGTTGGACGTCCACACCATAGTTTTCAACAGTTCCTTCCATTGGTCGTATTTCAAGGTATATTTATGAATTATTCAACGTTTTTAAAAGTCAACGAAAACTAATTTATTTTTGTATACGTGTTAGTCTTTATTTATGTTTTTTATTTATTGTATTAGGATTCGGTTGGAGCATTAGATGGTACTCACATAGAAGCAGTTATATCAGATGCAAAGGGGGTGCCGTTTCGAGGACGCAAAGGAGTCAAAACCTGGAATGTCTTAGCATGTTGTTCATTTGATAAACTATTAACGTTTGTCAATATTGGCTGGGAAGGAAGCGCTCACGACGTAAGAGTGTGGGTTGATTCCTTAATGCAATCAAAATATCATTTTCCTCACCCCCACCAGGTATAAAATACAAATATAAAATCAAAGTCAATTGAAAATGTAGGTAAATATTACTTAGTAGATTCAGGATATCCAAACACACTTGGATATTTAGCTCCATTTGATGATGCGGGAATGAGGAAACACATGCCAGAATTTCGTGACGGTGGTAAATCAAGAGGAGTAATGGAACATTTTAATTATCGCCACTCATCACAGAGAACTACCATTGAAAGAGCATTTTCGCATCTGAAGAAAAGATGGAAGATACTTCACAATATGCCCAAAATGAAAGAAGAGCATCAACAAGCAATTATTTTCTCTACTTTTACACTTCATAATTTTATCAGCATGTGCAAAATAGGAATGCCAATTTATGAACATGATGGGAATGGAGAAAGCATGGTTGATTCATATATGTTCAACAATGGATGAAAAGAAGCTATGAACAATGTTCACGTGGAAATTGCGAAACAAATTTGGGAAGACGTTCAGAAATCCAAAGCAACGGATGTATGATGATATTTACTATTTTATAGTACTTTTTTTGTTCTAAAAAGATTTATAGTTTACCCATTATTCATACAATTTTTTTACAAATCAAGATTTTATTAATTTATTTTTATTCCTTTGTTTTTTACAATTCAAGATCATCTATATTATTCTGTCACTTGTATGACTTAAAATACAAACAGACTAAATCAAGCAATAATAAAATAGTAAGTGTACTAATAATAACAACAATAACACTACTACTAGTTATAATAATAATAATAGTAATAATAATAGTATTAACAGTAATAATAGTAATAATAGTAATACTACTACTACTAATAACAATAATAATACTAATACTAATACTAATACTAATACTAATACTAATAATAGTAATAATAATAGTAATAATAGTAATACTACTACTAATAATAATAACAACAACAACAACAACAATAATAATAATACTAATAATAATAACAATAATAAAATATGGTCTGGTCTGGTCTATTTTGGTCTGGTCTGGTCTGGTCTATTTTGGTCTGGTCTGGTCTGGTCTAGTCTGATCTGTTTTGGTCTGGTCCGGTCTGATCTGGTATGAGACACTGCTATTTAGAGAGGAGCACATAAGTAGAAACTGATTGTTACCCCCTAACTATAGGACATTACAAAAATTCCTGCCTAGTGCGTATGAGAATGAGATGGGTATAAGGGATTCTTTACTACTGATAGGGTTGCTGACGGTTAAAATTGTCACTTACCAGCAGAAAGCTTTGACACTTTGATAGTAGAGGAACAAGTCATCAAGCAGACTGTTAAACCCTGCCAAAGAAGTGAAAGAACCTTCTGCTTCTGCTTCTGCTCAGCACTAAACCCTATTACTATCATTCTTCACAAGCATCGTTTTCAGCAGAAATAATGAATCGTATCGACGAATCCGACGTGGGTATATCTTGCTACATTTCTCAGCTCCCAGGCTTCCGTGGAATCCTCAAACAAAGGTGCTCCTCTCTGAAAATATATCTGATGCATTTAAGTTTACGCACTAAGGGCGTTTGAGTCGTCTGCAGACTTCACACTATATGTGTTGAATATGGTTAGCTGCAAGTGAATGATTCATTTTGTCACTAAAAGTCTGGGGAGGGGGCTTGGGGATCAATATTTGAACCTTTGTTTGCTTGATAAAATCGATTAATCTACTCATTGGTAATGTCTATCAAACTAATTTAATACTAACTAATTTAGTAAGTGTCCTGTCTGCTGTTGAGAAATCTGGAAGAATTGGAGTTATCTGGCGATGGATGCTAATGCAATATTTATTCATTGATATATAAGTCTTTCAGTATTCGTTTCCTGCTAAACGACTGTCCTCTAATATGCTTCCACGTGACTGTCTTCCATATTGTTTGGAGAGTTCCATCTACCATCTTGATGCATACTCCATATCTACCACTAGTATTTGTAAATGGAATTTCCGAGTAACCGTAAAAGTGAAAGATCTCTAGACTGCTAGTTTTGTTTGCAGGTATTCTGACTTTATTGTAAATGAAGTGGATCCAGAAGGCATTGTTGTTCATTTAACTTCTTTAGATGCTCCACAGGAGGTGATGTTTCACATGATTAATCCATTCATTATCTATTAAGAAAAATGGAAAATAAAAAATTTATCCGTGAAATGCGAGTCTTTTGATTGTACTATTACCTTATGCCTAATTGCCTACCAGCTACCTGAAGAAAAGGAGATAAAGGTAACTAATCCACCTGATAAAAGTTATGCAAGCGAGATAGAATCTTTCAGATCGCTTGCTGGTGATTCTGATGCTGACATGCTTAAAGATTTTATTCACAAAATTTGTTCCGGTGTTAATGTCAGTGACGAATACATACTGCTTTCACCGAGCTCAGATAAATCACATAGGACGGTTCGTTCTGATTAGTTACCTAATTTCATTTCATTCATATAATCATATCCTTTTTGGTTTTGTCCAGTCCTCCACATACTAACAGTAAATCTGACTATATTTCAGGAGATCCATAATTTTTTCAAGGAGAGGTTGAAATTACTTGTTACAGACACTATTGATGGACCTGATGACTCTTCAAAGTGTATCCGTGTTAGGTTAAATGTTGGAGGAAATTGTGGAAGGGGTAGAAACTCCAGGAAAAGGAAGGATCGAGGTGAAAAGCCCTATGATAGTAGAGGTTCAGATCATTGGCCACAAGATATTGGCAAGTTTCTGAGGTAAAGTTTGTTATGATTTTATAATGCTTATCTCATTCTCATATCTACTTTCCCCCCTTTAAATGCATTGTCACATTGAAAATTGAAGTTAAATGCATTCTTATTCATGGGTCCCCAAATGGATTGGTATCTACTTCCTATGGATCTAATATTGTGACACATCATCATCACCAAGCATCTTTTGCCTTAAATTTTCTCCAGCCACGTTTTATGGTTGTTAAACTATTCATTTTTTTCACTGATGAGTCTATCTTATAGTCAATGTTAAAATTTGTTAATTGATTTGAACTCTCTTTCTTACATGATTATTATTATCATAGGGAATAGAGACTATAAGTTCATTAAAAAACTGTAATGATTTTGTGACACTCACACCATAAGGTGAGCTAACAGATCTCCTTGAAGAATGATTCATTTCTCTAGTTACATATATTACAAAGTTTACAACTTAAATCTGAACCAATCAGCTTATAATCAAATTTAAAGTACCTTTCTTATATCTATCAGATATTCAGATGCTATCATTTTCTGTTCTATGGAATCTGGATATTCACAGCAATATGATGAGTCTATATAACTCCGCCATGCATGAAGTTACACAGTTGCACTTTAACTCCTAAAGCATGTCTTTTTAAGTAGAATCATCAACATTTCAGATTTCATCTTTACAAGGAGAACAAGGATACACAGGATGCTCTGGGTCTTATTGCAAAGATGCTCGGTATTCAGGTATACGCGTTGCTTTTACCTTTGATTTTTCTCGTACTTCTGGTGAAATGGCACATTTTCTCTCTTTAATGAGGCTACATACCCTGTCCTATGCACATGAACTGAAATAGAAAGAATGAAGAAAGCAGTAATTTCTAACATATCTCTTTTCACTTGTGGCCTTTTCATATATGTTGCAATAAGTGTCATTTATTTTATTAGCCATTTTCCTTCCTGTTTCATACTACTATATGATGTGATGTTGAATGATATTACACATGACAGCCTAGGTCATTTGGGTTTGCTGGCACAAAAGATAAGCGTTCCGTTTCGACCCAAAGGGTAAGATTTTAGCTCCTTTGTAGAAACTTATGTTCTTGCTGCCTCAGGAATCTGTTGACCAATGTTCACCATCATGTGGCACATCCTTAATTACAACCACTTAATTACAAACAACAGTCAATACAAGGACTTCCAACAGGAATGACAAGAAAAATATCCCAATTTATTGATGGGTGACCCCCTCATTTTTATAACAAGCTGACACTTTCTTGACAAGGGGAAGGTGGATATAATAAAAAAATCGTTTCTATCATGTTGTTGGTTTGAAATGTTCAAACTATAAGAGCAATGTCCTTGATATGCTGCAATATGATAATGACTTTATTTTAAATCGGTCATATAAGTTTTTTCAG